AAGAGAGTCGGAGGCAATGTCTTCAAACTGTTTGGGCTTCAAAATCTCCTTGGGAACATAAATACATAGATTCCTGAGCCCCATCCCAGATAGATCATAGAGAATATTGTATACCATGTGAAGGAGTTTGGATTTTATTCCCAAAGCCTTTGAAGAGAATAACCCATCCAACCTGTGGTTTTTGGGTTGTTTTTTTTTTTTTTTAAGACTTTATTTATTTGAGAGAGAATGAGAGACAGAGCATGAGAGGGAGGAGGGTCGGAGGGAGAAGCAGACTCCAAGCTGAGCAGGGAGCCCGATGTGGAATTCGATTAAGCTGAAGACAGTTGCTTAACCAACTGAGTCACCCAGGTGCCCCCAACCTGTGTTTTAATAAAGAATATCAGGGATGAGGTAGACTGGGTTAAATTTTGGAAAAAGAGACCTCTTGGGACTGTTGTAATAGTTTAGACAAGAGATGATAAAACTTAAAACAGGGACAATAGCAATGAGAAATTAGGGTTTTTTGGGAGTTGGTGATTGATCAGGTGTGAAAGAGTGGGAGGACTTTAGGATGATGTCCAGGTTTTTCTCTTAGGTGCTAGGTGAATGGCTTGTCAGTAACTCTGAGACAGGCAATACAGGATGGAAGAATGGGCCTGGGGAAATATGGTGAGTTTACTTTTGGGTATGGTGGGTTTGAATTGCTTATGGAGTGATTAGGAAGAAATGTTCAGGAAGTAGGGTGTGTGTGGGTATGGATGTGTGGTTGAGTGTTATAATAATTATTGTGAGAGATGTGGATTTGGAAGTTATTAGGTTTCATGTATCATGAACTAATCTAGGCAACTGCTAATCTACCTTTTGTCTCTATAGGTTTGCCTGTTCTGGACACTTCATATAAATGGAATCACATAATATGTGGCCTTTTGTGACTAACTTCTTTCACTTAATATAATGTTTTCAAGGTTTATTCATGTTGTATCATATATCAATACTTCATTTCTTTTTATTGTCAAATATTTCATTATATGGATATACCACACTCCATTTATCCATTCACCAATTGAACATTTGTTTCCCTCTTTTGACTATTACAAATAATCCTGCTATGAACATTCATGTGAACATACATTTTCATTTCCTTCCACATAGGAGTGGAATTGTTGGATCTTACGGTAACTATGTTTAACTATTTGAGGAACTGTTAGACTTTTTTCTAAAGTGGCTGTATCATTTTACATTCCTACCAGCATTGTATGAGGGTTCATTCTCCACATCCTTGCCAACACTGTTATCTTTTTGATTATAGCCATCTAGTGAATGTGAAGTGGTATCTGATTTGGTTTTGATTTGCATCTTTTCATAAGCTTATTGGCCATTTATATAACTTATTTGAAGAAATATGTGTTCAGATCCTTTGCCCATTTTTTAATTGGGTTAGTGGCCTTTTTATTATTGAATTAAGATAAGAATTCTTTATATATTTTAAATACAAATCCCCTATCCTATACATTTGACCCTTGAACATCACAGGTTTGCACTGTGTGGGTCCACTTACATATGGATTTTTTACAGTACAGTACTGTAAATGTATTTTCTCTTCCTTATGATTTTCTTAATATTTTATTTTTCTAGCTTGCTTTGTCATAAGAATACAATATGTAATACATATATAAAATATGTGTTAATCAAATGTTTATGTTATTGGTGAGGCTTCCAATCAACAGAAGGTTCTTGGTAGTTAGGTCTTTGGGGAGTCAAAAGTTACATGCAGATTTTGGACTGCAGAGGGGCTCGGTGCCCCTAACCCCTGCATTGTTCAAGGGTCAGCTGTTAATGATTTGCAGATTTCTCTCATTCTGTGGGTTGTCTTTCACTTTCTTAATGGTGTCCTTTAAAGCACAAAAGTTTTTATCTTTTAAATTTTTTTTTAAATGTTTTATTTATTTATTCATGAGAGTCAGAGAGAGAGAGAGAGAGAGGCAGAGGCAGAGGGAGAAGCAGGCTCCCCACCTAGCAGGGAGCCCGATGCGGGACTCGATCCAGGACCCTGGGATCATGACCTGAGCCGAAGGCAGACGCTTAACCATCTGAGCCACCCAGGCGCCCAAGCACAAAAGTTTTTAGTTTTGATGAATCCAGTGTATCTGTTTTCTTCCTTTGGTTGTTTGTGCTTTTGGTATCATATTTAAGAAACCATTGCCAAATCCAAAGTTTCTTGGATTGTAACTGTAATTACAATTACAATTACAAAGGTTTATTCCTGTATTTTCTTCTTTACTGTATGAGTTTTATATTTTCAACTCTTTCATTTAGGTCTTTGATACATTTGGGGTGCCAGTCTTGGCCTTGCCTTTACTTGCTTTGTGACCTCGGACTGTTCATTTGCCGTTTCTCAGCCTCACTTTTTTCATCTATAAAGTGAAAGTTGATATGTGTGTATATATATATAGAACAACAGAAAACAAATCAGTGGTTGTCATGGGCTAGGAATTGGTGGGAGGGTATTGACTACAAAGATGAGAAGATTTTTGGGGCTGGTGAAAATGTTTTATATCTTACTTGTGGAGTGCTTATATGACTACATTTTTCAGAGCTCATAGAACTGTATACATGAAAGGGGTAAGTTTCACATATGTAAATTATACTTCAATAAATCTGTCTTTCAAAAAAACAAATGTTACAACAACTCTACAAAGTATGTAATATTCTTTTCCATTTTGAGGCAGGAGGAAACTGAAGCTCAGGAAGGTCAGTGGACTTGCCAGTGGTCCCACATTTGATATGTGGCAGTTTCAGGATTTGAACCTAAATCTGCCTGATCATAGTTTGTGATCTTCCTACTCATTTTTAGTCTGTCCCTGAAACTATTAACAGTGTGTGGATTCTCTTGTAAAAGGTTGACCTTCCCTTGAAAGCCAGGAACCCTCTTTTCCTGTGAGCACCTTCCCCAGACATGGCTGTCATATTCTTAATCTAAATTTTGAACCCCTGGCAGATATCATTTCTGTCAGTCATTAGTTGGGCTTGGAATCGATACTATTGTGGAGTGCTGCCCAGGCATGATCTCCTTTTGAGGCTGTGGCCCTTATTTTGGAGCAGCAGGAGACCAGTTCCAAAGCTGATGCATTTCTTTGGTTATGAAAAGCAATTTCATACCTTGCCCAATCATCAGCAGCACAAGGTACCTTCTCAGTAGGAGAGTGACCATATGTTTATAGGGCCAGTTGTACTGCTTAGCACTTTAACAGTCTTGCTTACCCCAGCTTATTTAGCAGAGAACTAGCTGGGCAGAAGAGAGATCCAAGGCAGGGAAAGTGTACAAGTGATCTTCTGTATTGTTGTTGTTGTTGTTACATCATCACCACCATCATTTACCTCTGCATGCCACCCGACAGTTTGCAATGTATTTTTGACATTCTGAGATCTCTCTTTTTTTTTTTTTTTAAAGATTTTATTTATTTATTTGATAGAGAGACAGCAAGAGCAGGAACACAAGCAGGGGCAGTGGGAGAGGGAGAAGCAGGCTTCCCACTGAGCAGGGAGCCCGAAGTGGGACTCGATCCCAGGACCCTGGGATCATGACCTGAGCCGAAGGCAGACGCTTAACGACTGAGCCACCCAGGCGCCCTCTGAGATCTCTCTTAATTCTCCCAGTACCTTTTAGGAGAGTGCTTATATTCTGAGAGAGTGTTACTTGGCTATGTTCTTGGGTAACTCTGGCTGCAAGAGTATTTTCTCCTTAAGGTGTGCTGAAATATATATCTTCTGTAACTTTCATCCTCAAGTTTTTCTGGTTTCAGTTTGTCAACTGGTGGTAGTTTAGTCTGTTGCCCTGGGGTGATTTGCCAGGGCTGCCCATTGGGTACATTTCAGGAAGTTCTAGCCTCTGAAATTGATCAGTGGCATTTCCTTTTTTGCCTGTTTGACTGCCCTACCTTCCTCTCCTTGGGAACCTATTTTTACTCCACCTTTCCTTCCAGAACCCTGGAGAGACTTAATTAATTGCAGAGCAATTGTCATCAAGCCAGCTGTTCACTGCCTATCTTGACATTTGACTTGTTTCCTATCCTGAGGTGCTACAAGAGAAGTTAATGACCTAAAAAAATTGCCCGTCCATCGTGTGAGCCTAGTTAGGAGGGAATTGTTTGATTTTTATGAAGTGTAAATAATATATTTGTAGAGACAAGTTTTTTAAATGTGTTGGCCTATATGTCAGAGATGGTTCCCTAAACACGATGGGACAAATTGGCTGGCTAATAGAGTTTAATGACAGATTTTTCCATTAATCAGAATGGAGAATGTGCTTCATTAAGGTAATTAACAGAGCACTTGTGCAGGTGATACTTATTGCACACAAATTTCCAAGTTTATTTCTTTCCGTTGAATACATTTTGAAAGAGATCTTGGCTGTGTTTCCTTGTTTGCATTAAAATGATCAGTGGCAATAAATTTCTATTTTTTCCAAATCTGGTAACTGGTATCTTGTCCACTGCAGGTGCAAAGGATTGGTGAGACACTTGATGCTCTTCCTAATAGTGTGTGTGCTCATTGTTTGGCTCTTGTGCTCCCCTGGTGAGCAGTAGAAGTGCATTCTTTCCTAGCTCATGGACTAGCGTCCTTAGAATTAGAAAAGTACCTCAGAGAGCCTAAACTAATGGATTTCACATCAGGACATTGGAGTCCAGTGAGGCGAAGTGACTTGGCCAATGCCACACAGTATATTAGTGGGAGAGTCATCTGCGGGATAGTGGGTCTGGTTCTGAACTGAAAGGCAGAAGGCCTGGGTTGACATTAGGCAAGTTGTATCACCTCTCTGCTTCTCAGTATCTTCATCTGTATAATGAGCAAAGTGTATAATATAGGGCCAAGTACAAACAAATGGCTTTTTGTTTAGTTGTCTTTTTGCTGTACCGTGTTGTTCTCTGTGAGTATAAATTGAAGATTATAGAGGGGAAGCTGATATCAGGGAAAATGAGCAATCAATAATCGGTGCTGTTTTCTTTGTTTCTCTGTAGGATCCTCAGTCTTCCACAATGAACCCTGTGTATAGCCCCGTGCAGCCTGGGGCTCCTTACGGCAACCCTAAGAACATGGCCTACACAGGTGAGTGGTGTGAGAATAGTTCCCATTTTGAAAAGTGGTGGTTAAGGACATTACCAGATAGCTTGCTGAATGATTTTTGGTGTACTTTACCAGAGCCTCCGAAAGCTCTGATAAAGCTTTGTAATTTATAGAAGAGTGGTATGTCTGGGGTCCAGTTCTTGAACTGTCAACTAGGGGAAAGGAAGGGAAGTAACATTTATTTATTGAGTACCTACCATGCTGGCCCTGTGATACACACTTTTATATATGTTTAATTTTAATCTTAAAGCTTCTTATCACCATTTCACAGTTGAGAAAACCATAGTCATAGTAAGAGACCATGAAACAAAAACAAAAATAGATATTTGAACCCAGGTCTGTTGATTCTGAAGACTGATCTTTTTCCTGAACCCCATACCAAGCTGTTTACTACTTCTCTGTGTGTATGTTGTCCCTCTGTCTGGAATGACATTGTCCCTGACAACTTCACCTTATTCTTGAAGAACTCAGCTCTGAGCTCAGACAGCACTCTTCCAGGAAGCATTCTCTCCCTTACTTGGCCTTAGGCAAATTTTTTAACCTTCCAGAGCCTTGGTGCTCCCATTATAAAATGAGAGCAATAGTATTTTCTTTCCTTCCTTCCTTCCTTCTTTACACTTAGTCTAGGTTTTTTTTTTGAAGTATAGTTGACATACAGTATTAATTTAGTTTCAGGTGTAAAACATACTGATTCAACAAGTCTTTATGTTGTGCTATGCTCACCACAAGTGTATCTACCATCTGTCCCCATACAACACTATTACAATATCATTGACTATCCCTATGCCATCCCTTTTATTCATTTTATATCTGGAAGCCTATATCTCCCACTCCTCTTCACCCATTTTGCATCCTCCACCAAACTCCCCTCTGGCAACCATCAGTTGGTTCTCTGTATGTATAGGTCTGTTTCTGCTTTTTGTTTATTCACTTCTTTTATTTTTTTAGATTCCATATAAAGTGAAATCATGCAGTATATATTTTTCTCTGACTTATTTCACTTAAGGTCCGTCCATGTTGTCGCAAATGATAAGATCTTATTCCTTTTTATGACGAGTAATATTCCATTTGTACACACACAGACACACACACACCCATCTTTTTTATCCATTCATCTGTCAGTGGACATTTGGGTTGCTTCTATAATTTGGCTATTGCAAAAAATATTGCAACAAACATAAGGGTGCATGTATCTTTTTAAATTAGTGTTTTCGTTTTCTTTGGGTAAATACACAGTGGTGGAATTATTAGATCATATGGTATGTTTTTAATATTTTGAGGAACCTCTATACTGTTTTCCACAGCGTCTACCAATTTACATTCTCATCAACAGTGCGCAAGGGATCCTTTTTCTCCGTATCCTTACCAATACTTGTTTCTTGTGTGTTTTATTTTAGCGTGAAGTGATACCTCATTATGGTTTTGATTTGCATTTCCCTGATGATGAGTGATGTTGAGCATCTTTTTATGTGTCTGCTTGCCATTTTTATGTCTTCTTTGGAAAAATGTCTATTCAGATCTTCTGCCTATTTTTAATTGGATTATTTGGGTTTTTTGGGTGGTGAGTTATATAAGTTCTGTATATATTTTGGACAGATCCTCTGCCCATTTGTGATTGGATTATTTGGGTTTTTTGGTGTTGTCTAAGTTCTTTATGTATTTTGGATATTAATCCCTTATTGGATGTATCATTTGCAGATATCTTCTCCCATTCAGTAGATTGCATTTCCATTTTGTTGATGGTTTCCTTCACTGTGCAAAATCTTTTTATTTTGATGTAGTCCCAATAGTTTATTTTTGCTTTTGTTTCCCTTGCCTTAGGAGACATATCTAGAAAAATGTTGCAATGGCCAGTGTCAAAGAGATTACTATCTATCTATCTATCTATCTATCATCTATATTTTTTTTTTTAAAGAATTTTATGGTTTCAGGTCTCACGCTTAGGACTTTAATCCAGTTTATTTTTGTGTATGGTGTAAGAAGGTGGTCCAGGTTTATTCTTTTGCATATAGGTGTCCAGTTTTCCCAGTGCCATTTATTAAAGAGAGTGTCTTTTCCTCATTGTATATTCTTGCCTCCTTTGTCATAGATTAATTAACCATATAAATACATAAACGTTGGTTTATTTCTGGACTCTCTGTTCCATTGATCTATGTGTGTACTTTTGTGTCAGTGTCATACTATTTTGATTTAGGGCTGCTATCAGGATTAAATGAGCTACTGTAAGGCACTGAGCATCTAATATCTGGCACAAAGTAAACGCTTAAAAATGTTATTATTTACAAATAAATAAAGATGGGTAAAATATGGTAATAGAAGTAAAGGAGAAAATGTATTTAGGTTGTCTAGCACAGTGCTTAGCATATCATGGGCCTTCAAAAATACAGTATTCCAAGGTGAAGGCAACAGTATTAATAAACACATGGGGAATTAGGACGGTATGGTCAGGGTACAGTCAATACTTGAGATTAGCTGGAGTAAAGAGTAGAAAAGGGGAGGGCGCCTGGGTGGCTCAGTTGGTTAGGCGACTGCCTTCGGCTCAGGTCATGATCCTGGAGTCACGGGATCGAGTCCCACATCGGGCTCCCTGCTCGGCAGGGAGTCTGCTTCTCCCTCTGACCCTCCTCCCTCTCAT